GGCCCCACTGATGTGTTTTCCGATGGTCTTAGGCGACCCCTGTGAAAGGGTCGTTAGACCCCCAAAGGGGTCGCGACCCACAGGTTGAGAACCGCTGCCCTAAGGGGATCTAACCCCCAACCTTGGTGCATTGGCAGAATGCTCTAACCCAGTGGTTGCAAACTCATTAGTCAACAGAGCCAAATATCAACAGTACAACGATTGAAATTTCTTTTGAGAGCCAAATTTTTTAAACTTAAACTATATAGGTAGGTACATTGTTATTAACTTAATTAGGGTACTCCTAAGCTGGCCTTTGCTGAAAACATCCTCAATCTGAGGGGTCAACCTCAGCGAATTTACCCCCACTTCTAACGCCACTTCTTCAAAATAGACTCGCCCAGGCCGAAAACCAACTTCTGCGCATGGGCCACGAAGTTTCAATAGCACTGTACGTGCGCGCCCGCACGTGGTATTTTGTGGAAGAGCCACACTCAAGGGGCCAAAGAACCGCATGTGGCTCGAGAGCCGCGGTTTGCCGACCACTGCTCTAACCAACTGAGCTATCTGGCCAGGGCTCAAGACTGTTTTGTCTAACAAAGGCTTCCTTTAGTGATTTTGTTCCACATTTTAATTTAAACATTGTTAATCTGTCAAGAACTTACTTTAGTATAAGTAAATTAGGAATCCAGCCTTGTTGTTTTTAATGATTCATTTTTCAATTATTTTCTTTATCCCCTAATAAACTCCCATATACTATTTAAGTCTAGCCGAGTTACCTAACATAATACATATCAGTCTTTTTAACTTTAGCCATTCTGTTAAGTATGCAATGGTGTTTCACTGTTATTATCATTTACATTTCCCTGACGTTGAGCATCATTCTGGTACGGAACTCGAGGGGTTCGCTGCTTGGGGTATTCTATTTAAGAACAAGACTTGATTGTCCTTAGGTAGTTTTATTTACTTGCAGCAAGTAAAGGAGACAGGAGATTCACATCCAAAGCTCTGTCTCCCAGAAGGGAGGCTTAGCCATTACTTGTATATACTATTTGGTTAATTACATGTTGACTTCTTTGGAGTTGGCAAAACCTATCAGGTTTGGTTCTGGTCAAGCTCATCTGGTTACAGCTGAGTCTGCAAAATACTGCGCTACATTTTCACATTTAGCAAGAATAGTATTTAGTAAGAACTATCTAGACCTTGAGACCCTTGTCCTGTGTTACATTTTATGTGATTATTCTGTGTTTTCATTTTGTGACATATCTGTTCAAAACTTATGCTCATTTTAAAATGATTTTTAAAAAATTACTGAATTGTTGCCGAAGCCGGTTTGGCTCAGTGGATAGAGCGTCGGCCTGCGGACTGAAAGGTCCCAGGTTCGATTCCGGTCAAGGGCATGTGCCTGGGTTGCGGGCACATCCCCAGTAGGAGATGTGCAGGAGGCAGCTGATTGATGTTTCTCTCTCATAGATGTTTCTAACTCTCTATCTCTCTCCCTTCCTCTCTGTAAAAAATCAATAAAATATATTTTTAAAAAAATTACTGAATTGTAGGAGTTCTTTATCTGAATATTAGTTCTTTGCAGATATATGTATCAAGACCATTTTCCCAGTCTGTGCTTTTCTGATTCATGTTTTAAATAATATCTTTTGATGAACAGAACTTTAAATGTTGTTGAATTTTAACATCACTTTTTAAAAAAATTGTAAGTTTTTCATTACTCAGACTCTCTCTCTGCATGCTACATAGAGTTTACCGTGTGGTAGGTGTGTACTCTAAGTGGGTAATATATCAAGAGTTAAGTGATATTTTTAGGTTTATCTGAATAGCCATTTTGTTGTTAAATTGTTAGAGAGCCATAATCCGGAGCAGTGGTTCAAAATTTAATTGAGCATATTCATCATCCTTGAAATAGTTAAAAGTAAGACCACTGTGCGCCATTCCTTCAGAATGATGTTTCTTTGCTCCGTGGTGCAGACAGGTTTAGGAATCACTGATCTCTAAGTCAGTCATGCTTGGCCAAACTTACGGCTCACCCACATGCCATTTTCTGGAACAGAGGGCAGGAAAATATTAGTGGAAATGACCTGTTGCATTTGAATTTCTGCATGCTGTTGCCACCTGCCTTTTACTGACCTCTGAAATAGTTAAAAAGCACTGAGGGGAAACGCAATGGGAAAGTTTGCTCAATAGATTCTGTTGTAAGGAGGCATAATAATACAATATTTCAAAACGGGAATCATTTGCATTGGTGTGAGTGCTTTCCAAAGGCTGGCTCTTGCTTTTCTTCTGCAAGAGAAAATTGCAAGGTCTTCACTGAGAGGTTTTATTGCTGTTGTTTCTTTAAAAAAAAAAAAAAAGTTGGTTCTCCTAATGGTCTTGCTAATGGACCCTCACTAGTCTGGCCATGGAACAGGAAACTTCTCATTGGGTATTTTCAAGACTGCCACGGGGAATCAGCTGCCAGTTTACTGCAATGTTGAAAACTGCACGAGTTTCTGGGATTGGCATCAAAATGCTAATTTAAAAGGTCGAGTGAAACGGCGGCTCACGTTTTCCCTGCCTGCACCCTCGGCAGAAAGAACAAAGAGCCAGCCAGAGGAGACCAGAGGCTGAAACTCACCCCAAATCTGTTTTCCTGAGATCATTTTGGAACCATGCCTGAAATGCCGGAGAACATGGAACAGGTAAGAGCTAACAGTTCAGGAAATGAGGCATTCTGGAGTTAGAGTTTCTTTGAAAGCATCTTGGTGAATGTCTGCTAAAAGCCGAAAAGCATGGGTGCCATTCATTTCTTTAAAACATAGAACTTTGAGACATGAAAGAATAAACTAACTTTAATTATTGACCCTGTATGGAGAACTCAGCTAAGTCTCATTAATGGGGGAGCGGGGGGCGGGGGGAAATGCAGAACAGAACAGCAATTTCATTTACAGGATTAATGCATTGATGCAGGTGCAGGGTCTGTATAAATGAGGATTTTATCCACAGTGTACGCTCCAGCCTTTCTTTGTCTTGGCGTGAATGGACTCTGCTAACATAACTTTTAGCTCCAGGTCGCTCTCTTTAAATTTATAGACTTAGCCACAGCACGAACTTGGACAGTGCCTGTAAAATGATGGCTTTTTTTTTTTTTTTCACATAGAAACTTCCATCTTTAAAGAGGATGATTACACGCACATGTGCCCCTAGAACTACCCCCACGTTTTTCCTGCAAGTATCAACAAACTAGATTCTCAAATGCAGGCAGTAAACTTTTTGTTTCTCTCTTCTCTGAGGATCAAAGCGCTAATTGCATGGGCTTGCCCTTAACTCTTCTCCACATTGAATACTTAATTTCATTTTTCATAGATTAGATGGCAACTAGAGACTTTTTAAAACTCCCCAGTTTTTAAAGTGAGAACTAAGAGGATCTGGAATCTTCTCCCTCAGTCCCCCACTGCCCTTTGGGGCTGGGGCAGTGCTCTCACTCGAAATAAATGCTAAAGTAATGAACAGGGACAGTCTGGATGAAAACAAAAGTCGGAAAGTGGGGGTCCTCGGGCTCTCTAACATTAACTGCTGCAAAGACACCACGTTCCCCCCACAAATAAGGAATGAGTTCTTGTTGGGGGGAGGGGGGCTGGGTAGGAAAGTCACAGGACTTTTGCAAAAGGCTGCTTAGGCTCTAAAGCAAAAAGGATTTGGAAAATAGGACAAGCGTTTTGAAGTGAAAGTCACCCGATTTGTCACTTTAAAAAGCGTGATGCAGGGTGCTCAGCATTATTCTCCCCTCCCTGGGTACCTTCTTCAACTCTTGGTCCTACTTTTTAGCATCCCCGAAAGACAAACAGGCTCTTGAGGTGGTAATGGCTCATTTGCCAACACTTGTGTTTTTCTTGTCTCTTCTGAATCTCTCAAAAAACACTCCTAAGGCTCCAGGGATGCATGTCTATTGTGCTTTCCTTCTCCCTCTTGCCTCACCGCTCCCCCGCTATGACTTTGTAAAACGTCTTATCCCACTTTATGTATTACATGCCCAGTTGATTTTTTAGAATTATGTTTTTCAATGGCAGTTTATATTCAATATTATTTTGTATTTGTATTAGTTTCCGATTGATTCTTTATGCACTGCGCAGTCTACAGACTTGAAATTCCACGCGATCCAATTCAATCCTTCCCTAGTCAAGGAAAAAAAAAAAAGGAAAATACATAAAATAAACAGCCTTCCTCCTCCCACCCCCAAACAAAGCTTGTATTCATGGCTTGAGGCCAAGGCCTTTGTTTTGCGTGCCCCTTTAACAGTTGGCGCATGGGCGGAGGGCTCCCCCCAGTGTGCCCGCCCCTTTCCGGGGTTTCCGCACGGCGTGGCCAATCAACGGGAGCGGCCTTGGCGGCGGAAGCCGGAAGCTGTGAGCAGGC